TTTGTTATCTACAAAAAAAAATTGATTTGCGGGGAGGGAGTTTAATTTTATACAAAAAAATTTAAAAAACAACAAAAATTTTTTAAAAATTTTTTTTTGGGGGTTTTTTTTTTTTTTTTTTTTTTTTTTTTTTTTTTAATATCAGGAAAAAAAAAGAACTTATTTATACTTTGGAATTTTTTTTTTCCCTGTTTATTTATTTATAATGTAACTCATAGATTTGATGGTTATACAGTATATTACCTTTTTTCCTAGATTTGGAACAATAACACAAAAGGATATTTATCAAAAAAAAAATTGTTTGTGCTCGTTGTTTAACCAATAGTACAGAAATTTAAGAAATTTGCAAATGTTGAGCTAATTGGTTTAAAATCAATATTACAAATAATTCATTTGAACTTCTCACGTTGCCTTATTTATAAGATCTCTTTGAACTGGAATTAACAAATTTATTTCCCATTGTGAATCTCTGGTTCTGGTTCGGAACAAATAAGAATAAATAAGAATGATTTTACCGTGCCGTTCGGCTAATCGGAGTAAGTGGGCATAAATGGTCCAGAATTTCATATGTATATATAAATAAATATAAACCGGATGATCTCATAACCTATATTTAGACGCTCGATATGATGTTATTCGGCATTTTGTGAATGAATTAGTTTGATGGTTTGGGAAATGGTCGATTTGCATTCGACTTGATCATGCGATCGATTTACTCTAATTAAACAAAGCTCATGAAATGTTGGATTGGTTGTCAAATTAAAGGTTTCAACGATCGTTTCTTTTGGATTACCAGCATCCGCAGCAAAGCAGAGTTTATTTATAGCAAATCGAAAATAGAATTAATTTCCGGTTTTGGTGCATATCTTGGTGAAACCATTTTTTTTTTTAAGGAAAAAAAAAAAAAAAAATGAACAGGTTACTTTACAATGCTATCCATAACAATTGAAGTGAATTATACTATCCTAATTAAGTACATAGAAAAATAAACATAAATAATAAATAAATCCTTTTTGTTTGATTATCAAAGAAAAACCTTTAAGATTCAACCGGTTCTAAAAATTTCTTTGTTATTTAAAATGGCACTAACCGAACTTTAAAGCAAAGATGATTTGCACCTTCCCTTTCTTAGTTAATTTTGAATTCTGTTCGAAAAAAAAAAGAGGATTTCAATGATTTCAAAACGGGTTGGGTAAAAAATGTGATAATGTTAGTTCACATCTCATAATTTCTTTTGCACATACATGCACATTATGTTGTTTTGTGTAATCACCTGCAACTCAATCTGAATAATTTGTAAACGAAGTTACACAATTTACAATAAAGAATTTTATAGTTATGGTTATTTATAAATAAACATCTTGGTGTGCCAAGAGATTTTCTTGTTTGGCCAATTAAGGTTTAATGGATGTTTCCCGATATATTTAAAACTTGTTAACAATTAAACAAACCCCTCCATTTTAAAGAACTTTTTTTTTCTTTTGTGGTAATAAAACGATAAGAACTTAATAATATTAAGCGCACAAGAAAAGTAGTAAAAGAAGTTTTTTTTTTTCATATCCAAACGATCAATGTCATTTTCAAGCTGGATATTTTGGAATAAATCCAAAAGCTTCATCGAAACACTTATTAGCATCCAAAATCGATTTTGTATTTATTGGCATGAAAAAGTTCGATGGGATGATTTTCCAAAACATGGCACCGGAGTTTATATTCAAGTAATATGGGATTTATCTTCGAATCAGACTACCGGAAAATTTGCCCTCCGTTGCGGTCAAAAAAGGAAAGATCTGATAGTTCTACTTATCTTCCAATTACATGGTTGTGGTCAAATGAATCCCAAGCTACATCTTGTGGACTGAGTTATATGGTCACATTGATGAATTATATTGGAAGCCCAAATATACCCTTTATTGTAAAACATTCAATTAAAATTTCATCGACAAGATGTTAAATAACTTTTTATATTAAAGAATATCGGAAATTTCATCAAGGTACTTCCAATTGGTACAAGTTTGGATTGAAAGAAATTTGTGTTGGTCTTTAAAAGATAGAAAACCGTATCAAAATCTAAATTAATTGTGGTGGAATTGATAATAATGGTATCAAATTACAGGAAATCGAAGTAGATCTTATTGTTATCTGTGAAATTTTTTTTTTTTGTTTTATTTAGTTCAAGATGTCCCTGAATTTCTTAATTGTAACATCCATATAAATAGATAACTATGAAATTTCTAAATATGTTCTAATGGTAACAAGTGGAATGTTTGATGATTCAGTAAATCCCGAAGTTGAACACATATTTCATCATACTATTGTTTAGTTATGTACTTTATTTTTTCTGATCATGGTACATCCCCGTCCCATTAAGCATAAATCATGAGAGTTCGAAAGAAAATCATAATAATTCGATTTTCTTTAGATTTGATGATCCGACCTATCCTTATTAAAATACGCCATAGGATATGCAAAGCTTCGGTAAATTCCAGATAACAGAGATAGCATGCATTAATTTTGTTCCAACTCAGGCTTGGCTTATTAATATGTTTAAGTACCACTATTATGAACCTCGTGCCAAAATTTTTATTGCAGTCGCATGACCAAATATTTTGTTTGAAAGAGTTATTATTTTATGTAAAAGAATCATGGAGGATAGTCATAGTTTAGATTTTTATTGTTTTTACTTTGATTTTTATTTTTTAATCTTTATTTGTAATATCATAACATAAATTTAATAAACTTATTGACAGTACCACATCGAAAAAAAAAAAAACATAAATAGAATTTTCCGGAATTATATCTTTAGGTTAAATCTAAAAAAAGTATTTAAATATATAAAAAACTATCTAATCTTGTTAATTTTAATCAATATGTTAAAAAGGTATAGAAAGAAATTCTAAAATATACTATTAAAAAATTAGTTGATAATATATTATAATAAATTCAAACTATAATTATGAAAGATAGTAATTTAACTAAACTAGTTAAATAGTATAAAGTGTAAATCTTAATTAGTTTTAAGTAAAATATTAATTAAATCTTTTATTATTAATACTAAATAATTTTAAGTTTTATATTAAGTAAAAATTTGTGTAAAAACTTTTTATTTATCCTCTATAAATTTGTTTATTTAAACTTATTTTAAATTTAATAAAATGTTTAAATTTTAAATTTTATTAATTTTTACTAAAGTTTTGATATAGTTTTATCATTTTTTTTAATTTTTAATATAGTTTTACCTTTTTTTGAATTTTAAAATTTTTTTTAATAAGATTTTAATATAATTTTACTAAATTTTACCTTATACTATTTAAATAACATATAAATTTTTGGGTTTAATCTAATAATTTTATTTTATAATATAATTAAAAAACTTATATTACAAATATTAATATATATTATTATAATTATAATAAAAAATGCTAATATTGAATTTATTACATAAATATTTATAATATATTAAATTTATTAATTTAACAAATTGTTTTTTATTATTAAAGTCTTATTCAAAGTTATTTATAAAAGAATATTTAAAATTAGAAAAATAAAATTAATTTAAATAGTAAAAAAAATAAAAAATAATTAATAAATTAATAAAATATATATAAAATATAAAAAGATTTATATAATTATTAATATAATTTTGAATTAATAAATAATTTGATTATTATTTATAGCTTATAAAAAAGAAATAATATATTTATAATTATAATATTAAAGTAATTAAGTTTTCTTAAAATTTGAATTGAATATTTAAAATAAATTAAAATTTTAAAATAAAATGTGTAAGAAAAGAAATATTATTAAAAATTAAATTTAAAAAATATTATTAACAATATAATATATATAAAATATAATAAATATTTTATATAAAATATATATATTAAATTTATTTAATGTAATAAAATAATAAATTAAAATAAAAGAAATATTAAGAATATAAGAAAAAATTATAAAGATTAAAATAAATACATTTTAAATTTAATAATCTTAAATAATAAAATTATATAATTTTTAGTTTAAGAGTATAACATTAATAAAATATAAATAAAATATTATAATAATTTATAAAAAGATATTATTAAAATCTCAATTATATAATATTATAAAAAAACATTATTTTAGTTTACATAATTATTAAAAAAGATAAATTTTTAAATTTTTTTATTGATTAATAAAAATTTTTTATATAATATTAATGATTTTCACTGATTAGTATATAGATTATAAATTAATTAATTAATTTAAATGAATATAAACTAATTTTTTTTAGTAATAAATTATAGAATATAAATAATTTTATAAATATTAATTTTATTTAATATTAAAAATTATTAAAATAAAAATCTTAAATATATAGATATTTTATAATAAAAAAAAGAAACTAATAAAAAATATTTTTTAAATTAAAATTAATTTATAAAGTAAAAAATTTTTTTGATAATTTTTATCTTTTTATAATAAAATATTTTATATTATTTAATTATAATAAAAAATAATATTTAGATTTAAAAAAACTAATATTAATTCTATAAATAAATAAATATAATATAAATTATATAATATAATTGATTTCTTATATATTTATTTCTTATATAATTATTCCTTTTTATAAGCACATTTTATTAGTTAAAATTAATAATATACTTATTAAATATTCTCTTTTATAATCAAATCATATAATTTTTTTATAATTTTATTAAATTTTTTAATTATATTAAAAATGATAATTTAATATACAGTCAATTTCTTATATAGTCATACTTTTTAAGACTAAATATAATAAATATATATATTATTCCTTAAACTATAAGTATAAAATTGCTTCTAAAACATTTTAGAAAACTTAAAATATTTTATATATTTAATGATTATAAAAAGATAAAATAAAATTTTTAAATTTATTATATTATGATTTATTTAATGGTAGTATTTTTAAACTTTTGAAATTAATAATTATTAATTAATATATATGATCCAGTGCAAAAAGATTGATACATCAATATGTTTATAATAAAACTTTTTTTTTTAAAATTTAATGTAAATTGTTAAATAATTTTATTTGTAATTTGGGTTTTAAGGTATAATTTAATATAAGCTTTATTATAGTTTTAAGTTCAATACA